CGGTGGACACTTGGACACCTGAACACTTGGACACCTCTCATGTTCCCCTGCATATGGAAGGTTGGCCACTGGAGTCTACAGTTAGCCACTCAAGATCTCCTCAGGATCCTGGGTAAATATGAATCTGGGGGTAATTAGGGCTGCTCCACTAACCTGTTGCGGACAGGTGTAAGTGCTGGAGACTAAATAAAGTAGAATTTTTGAGGGAAAGCACTTTTGTTTGCCTGCTTGCATCAACTATCTATCAGCCAGACAGCCATGTCCACATTGATTAATTTCCTGCCACTGCCTTGCAAAGAATAAAGTTACAAAGAGCTTTGGGTTCCGCAAAACCCCCGGTAATAGAATTGGAGGCTCAAGAGAGGATGATGGAGAGGAAGGGGACTGTTGATGCAAACCAATAGTTGTCTATTGCAATAGGAAGTAGAGGATGGTGCAGTGGGGTAGCTACTTACAGTTCTCATGTTGTAACTCACAAGTCAGTTTATGGGTAAATTCTGTCACTGGGACTTAGAGCTCAGGCTGGTGGCCTGTTCAAGTGAGGAATTATGTCCAAAGGAAAGGAAACATCTGGAAAGGAAGAACAGTTGAAAATGGGGAAACAGCTTGACTGATTTTATACAGGAACAGGGGTAACATGCCCCTGAAACCTGGAGCTTTGACTGGCCCCAGGGTGATCCCGCAGCTCTGTAAGCAGATAGTAGTGACAGTAGTAGGTAGAGAGATAGGTCAGTTAAAGGCAAGCATGGAGGAACTAGAGAAATATAAAATTGAGAAAGACAAAGAGATATCCAGCCCGAAGGCTGAGTCAGACATCCTCCAAAGCTCAGATACTGGGAGTGCAAAAGCAAGTGTGTGTGATAGTGACAGTGAGAGGGGAGTGAGAAGCTGGAACAGGAGGTGTCTAGACTGAAACATCAGACAACGGAGAGTGAAAGAATTGTTAGAACCTTACTGAAGGATTCTCAGGCTAAGATCCAGGCAGATCATGGGGAATGTAAGAGACAGATTTGTCCTCTCAGAGCAATTGGGGAGAGCAGAAGGGAATAGTGGCTTCAATTAGAGGAAGTTGTAGTCTGGGAAGGGGGTATGCGTCAGAGGTGGATCCTCACTTGCATCCTTCTTATGATGATGAGAGGGATGATCACCAAGAACTTCCCTTTCCTTTGGGCTCTTCTGGGCAGTCCCCATGTGGTCCCTTGCTTGAAACACTGGAAGAGCTGCAGACTCCCATGCCCATAGCCCCCACAGTGGGGAAGATTGATTCCCAAGGGGGTAACCAAGGAGGGAAAGAATGAGTAGACATCAGGCCCTTCCCCCTGACCAGGCTAGGGTACCAGGGAAATTGGTTGTCACTTTAAACTGGAGCACAGTCTTGGGATGTCTGGCAAGGACAGCTGGCACCCCCCCAGTCTCACTCTGGCGGATGTTGTGTCAGCCTCCACTCTCCTCTCAGAGCCAGTCTAGGGGTACAGGTTCCCAGATTCTTTGGCCCAAGAAGCCCCACTTGTAGAATTGTTGTTGTCTGTGCTTTATTTTTTTGCTTAAGTTTCCCTTCCTTCCTAAGTCATTCTTCACACACACACACACACACACACACACACACACACACACACACACACACACACACACACACACACACACACACACACGGCTTCCCCACCACACATGCTATTTGTTTTTTATTTTGTGCGTTTTTGTTTTGAAAGTTAAGGGTTAAAACCACAGCAGGCTTTACTTTACTGCCCTTGAAAATACGGTTGCCAAGCAACAGGAAAGTTTATTTAGCTACTGATTTTAATTACTGCCAGAAAAGCAGTTTTGAGAAAAGTAGTAAATTAACAAAAGAAGGATCGGGCCCAAAGCTGTTTATTTTATAGCCATAGGGAATTTGTTGCTCCGAATGAGCAACCACGTATAAATCAATAGCCCTCCCAGATAAGACTCTAAAGGAAGGCGAGGGCTAAAGGGGAGAAAGGAAAGAGAAGAGATTCTGGGAATTGATGCTTTAACAGCATTGAGAGTGATGGTTGATTTTGCTATCAGGGTCCTGGGGGAACCACCTCCCAGCACACCCTGGGAGCCAGTGGAGATTTGAGCAAAGTACCGGAGAGCAGCCCTTAAGACATCTGAAGAACTGGAGTGGCCTAAGTGGCCCCCAGAAGTCCTAGTAATTGCAGAGAAATACCAGGAGTGTGGGGCAAAAATAAGATAGAATATGGTAAAATTGATGCAGAAATCCTAGTTACAGGCCCCGATCCCCCAGGCCAGATCAGTGTAGGTAGCCAAAGGAGGCAAAAGCCAGCCTGAAAGAAACATCTGATGGGCTTTTGGGCCAAGGAGTTTTGGTAGAACAGGTAACCCCCCAATAATGCCGCTCTGTGGCCAGTCCTTAAAGATGATGGTAATACTTGGAGGCTTGTGGTGGATTTTTTGCCCCTCAGTTGGGTGACCCTGCTGATGTCCCCGTAGTGGCTAAGTGTCAGGAGGGGATGGCCTCCATTGTAGGAGGGGGCCCAGTGGGCTTCAGTTTTGGATTTGGCCAAGGCTTTCTTTGCTATCCCTTTACATCAGGATGGCTATTGCAGATTTGCTTTTACCTTTCAAGGGAAGCAGTTGTGTTTTGCCAGGAACGTGGCTGGAACATACCTCTATTCTTTGTCATGTCTAGGTGGTCAAGATGTGAGCAGGAATGCCCAAAAGAGACATTTTTATGTCTAATATTTTTATGTGGATGATATCCTGGTTCGCACTCAGACCAGGGAAGCGACTCTGGAGGTATTGGACAGGGTGTTACAAAAGAGTCAGGAAACTGGTTTAAGGTGAGCCCAAAGAAAGCCCAGCTGTGCTCCCAAGAAGTAAAATTTTTGGAGTGATTTGGGGACAAGAGGGGCATTCCTGTGACCAAATGAGAGTGGAGCTGAGATTTCATTGAGGGATTTTCAGAGAAGCCCCACTTCATGAACTGTTAAAGAAGAGAGCAGAGTGGAACTGGGGCTCTCAACAAGAATCCATGGTCTAGTTAAAACAAGCCTTAGGCTAAGCCTCTGGATTTGAGAAATGTTTGTGAGGAGAGCTTTACAGAGTCAGAACCATGGAACAATGCTCCGCCCTGAGACATATGTCTCCTAGCCTTCCAGTGAGGTAGAGAGGAGATTTACTCCCTATGAAAAGAAAGCTTTGGCACTAGTTTGCGCTTTGCAGCATTGGGACTATCTGGTGGGATTGTCCCTGGTGTTACTGAAAACTGCTCACTCTCCAGTAAAATGTGTACTCACAACCGTCAGGTGTCCAGCCTCAGCAAGCCTGAAGTAAACCAGTGCTGATGAATTTGCTAAGCCCCAAGTGCGGGCTCAAAGCACAGTTAAAAATTCAAGAGTCCCCTCCCAGGGAAAAAAGGGTAGAGGGGAAAAGTGGGACTCAGGCCCAGATGGGTCTGAGTAAAAGTTGATAAGTTTAGCTTAAATGTTTTAGTGATACCTCCCTCTATATAGGGAGGGGAAAAGTTTGTTCTGCTTTGTGTTTTAGATTATTAACCATGTGAATGCACTCCTGTGTGCTGCTGTTCCTGGCATTTGGATTGCAGACCTGCTCCTTTGGTGATGTGAATCAGGAATCCATTGTGTTTACAGCATGGGGAGACAATCAGTGAATGACAGTGAAATGTAAAGTGAACAATACCTTTGACATCACTACTGATCCCAACATCCCAGAAGAACAAATCACTCTTTAGGCCCCTTGGAAACATTAGCTTGGGAATGAGCAAGAACTGGCAATGTGTCATGGTTTGGGTTGCAAATGGTCTACACTGGCCACTATGGAATCCCCCACTTCAGTGGCAACCACACCATTCTCATGTATACATAAGGGGCTAGTGGGAGAAAGGATTTGTTTGTGTGGAGCATTAAAAGCTACCCAGGTGGGTACAGTTGTCACTGGGTGGGAACTGACAAGCTATTATTTAATTGTACTAAGCCTAAATGTGTTCATTTGTGGACTGACATTCCCCAGCGGACAGCACTGGGGGGAAAACCAATTCATTCAGGAGGGGAATGGGAAGCTCCTTTGCCATGCAATTTGGAGGCTCTGGAGTCTCAAGAAACATTTTGGCACTAGAGGCCCTCTGTAAACGGTTGGTCCAGCCATTATTTGAAAGATGGAAAAACTGGATAAATCTATATGAGGTCCCCAAATCAGGAAAGGAATGGGTAAGAAGAGACCTATAAGGAGCAATTGGAACAAGGGTGGAGTTTTTAACAACATCAATGAGGAAATGCTAGCAAACAAGATAAATGCAATGGGTCGACACATATGGACTATGGGTGGTGACAAATGACCAGGGTGAAAAACAGTAAAATTGGAAACCTGCTTAAAAGAACCTGGAATGGGATATGAAAGCAACAAAAATGCCCTGCAAGTAGAGGATGTGTGTTTGGAACTGACTGAAGAGAAATGCCACTATGCTATTAACTCATTTGCAAATAATAACTATATGCTTGTATATATAGGTGATCACTGTGTGTTCTAAGAAGCTGGTGTCCTATGCTTCTTGTTAATTACATGCATAAAATAGATAATGATCCTCATGAGGATAAATGTTTTTGCCATGTTACAGTGATTCGGGGATGTGATTTTGAATTTCAAGTGCCTGAACTTAAATATAATCAATTAAAAGAGACATATCCTTTGTACTCTGCTGTAAAATCTGTATCCCTTGGAATGACTTTAACTGTTTTACAAACGTTGCTTGCACGCCCTGATTTGCATACTGCCAAACAAGAGGTGCACAAGGTCACGGTTACTGTACATCATAACATCAATGAAATTAAATGTATATTTGCAAGAATTGGCCAGAATCTAAAAAACACCAGTGGTGGGAGGCATTATTGGAATGGTTACTTGCTGGCACAGGGATCTTCAACTTGGCCCTGAATCCCATTGTAATAATTTTGATGTTCCAAGTAGTAGTGATCTTCAGTAGTGAGATACAACTAGTTAACTGATGGAAAAATCCACACTGCAGGTTGGAAAACTACAGGCTGGAAAACTCTCCATTTAACTTAACCTCTGCTTAGCCCTTTTTTTCATGAACAAGCTATGTAATGCTAACAAATTGGGAATAAAAAGAGGAAGGATTCTGGGCTTGGTGGATGCTTGAACACTTGGACACCTCTCGAGTTCCCCTGCAGACAGAAGGCTGGCCACTGGATGTCTACAGTTATCCACTCGAGACCTCTTCAAAACCCTGGGTAAATATAAATCTGGGGGTAATTTGGGCTGCTCTATTAACCTATTGCAGATGTGTGTAAGTGCTGGACTAAATAAATAGTGCCCTGCGTGGATACAAAATTTATATCCACGGATGCAGATATCCGCAGATATAAATCAGATATCTGAGGAGCTGCAGGGCTCTACCAAGAACTGCAGCGGCGAAAGCAGTGGCATATTGGGCTGCCACTCACAGGAGGCAGAGCCCCATGCAGGCCCTCCTCTGGCATGGCTGTACTGCCTACAGTCCCGCCCACTGGGGCAGGCACCAGTTCCACCCACATCTGCCCCTGGTCACACCCTGGGACCGGAGTCCCTTCCACACAGCAGTCTGCATCTCCTGACTGGGGGCATGCGAGCTGCTTGCACACACTAGTGCAACCAGGGACAGCTCTGGGTGAGCCTGGTGCCCGCCCCAGTGGGTGGGACTGGGGACAGGGCTGGGGGTGGTACAGCCATGCCAGAAGAGCTGCCCATACAGGGCACTGGCTCCTGCGAGCAGTGGCCCAACATGCTGCTGCTTTCACTGTTGCAGTTCCCGATGAAGCCCTGCAGCTCCCCTAATATCTGATTTATATCCACGGATATCCGCCATCCACAGATATGAATTTTTTATCCATGCAGGGCTCTATAAATAAAGTAGAAGTTTTGAGTGAAAGCACTTTTGTTTGCCTGCTTGCATCAACTATCTATCATCCGGACAGCTGTGTCCCCATTGATTTATTTCCTGCCACCACCTTGCAAAGAGTAAAGTTACCCATAGCTTTGGGTTCAGCAAAACCTCAGATAACAAATCTACATGTGAGACTCATCAGGTAATTTTGACATGTTCAACCATGTGGTATGGCATAATATGATAGGAGAGAATTCCCAGTAAATAAGCAGAGTGCAGAATTCTTCACTATTATATTTAATTCCATTATTATTATTCATTCATTTACACTACTGTCCATCAGTCAGTGCACAACAGTATCTGAGGCCCAGATTCCCAAAGGTATTTAGGGGCCTAACTCCCATAATGGAATACCTTAGAAGATCCAGACCCAAGTGTCTACTTCATAAAAAATATTATAAAGAAGTTCAGAAAAAAAGGTTCCATAATGTGATCTATTTGTATTGTCATAATCTTGGCATAAGGGTATATTGTTAAATTTATAACAAAGACACTGTAAAGTGACAGCTAGTTCCCTCTATTCATTTCCACAGAACTTCTTGTGTTGACCTTATTATGAAAAAGAAAACTTCTAGGCAAAATAATAATTAGCTGTCAGAAGTGTTTGTCAAAGACAAAGCTGTTAAATCACAGCTACCTGTCAAGTACCAGCTTTAGTTTAAATTCTTACATTCTTCAGTTCAAAGAACTGCATTGGCAGATTATGGTCAGACAATGAAAATATGTTTGTTCCATAACTATAACAAGCCTCTTAGAAACCCGCGAACCTAAGGGTTCATGCCTTATTGCCATATGGCTTTGGATACTTATTGCACTAAGCCGTGTTCTGTTGGCTAGTTGGCCCTTTGTTGTGGTTTTCATAGGACTCCTCCATCGAATCACAAGTATGAAATCATCAGTACTTTGTGGCCCTTTGGACAATTTCACATCCCAATTTCTATTGTGAAAACTAGAATGTGAGCTACTTTACTCCGATTCCACTAGAGCAATATTACAACAGCAAAATAGTGGGGGCAAGAATCTGTTCTGTGGCCCTGTAAACTAGTGGCCCTAATCACCAGCTAGGGACTAGGTGTCAGCCAAGCTCAGCTTAGTCTCTGTCCCTTCTTTCAGGGCTCTGTTTAATATCTTCACAAGGAAAGAAACAATGTGCAAAAATAACAAACAACAACTTGGTTAAAGGTTCAGATGGGGGCTATCTGGCCTCCAGTAGCTACCAGGCAGGGCCTTCTCCAACCCTGGTGGGAGGGAGATCCACAAGGCCTACCTGCCTGCAGCCTCCTGCTCTGGTGACAGGAAAATATACTCCCTACTCTCTCCTTCTTTTCCTCCTTCCTCCACCTGTCCTCACCAATGAGCTGGGACCTCCTTTATTGTCCAGCTAAGTGGGCAAATTATGAGGTACTGTTCAGCTGTGTCAGCTGATTCCCAGAACCTGCCTGCTGGGCTTCTCCCTGGAGCAGGGTCAGCTGCTTCCTGCCTCCCCTCCTCTCCCTTGGGCCATTAAAGGGGCAGATCACCCTGTTACAGGCCCCTTTATGCTGCTCCAGCAATCTTAAGATGTAGTTAGTGGAACCAGGAGTGTATTGGTCATCCAATTTGCAAATGCAATGGCAGATGGACTCAACTGAATAAACCCAACTGAATTCCTTATACAAGGAAGAGATATAAGGGATCTGCAAAGAGGCACTAGACTGACAAAACCCCATCTAGGAGTGTTTTTTTAATGTTCTCCCCTGCCATACTCTATCCCTGAGGCTGCTTTAGTTTGTGGCAGGAGCTGAATCAGCCCCCAAATGGCTCCATAAAATCAGGGCCGGCTCCAGGCACCAGCTTACCGAGCAGATGCTTGGGGCGGCCACTCCAGAGAGGGGCGGCACGTCGAGCTCTTTGGCGGCAATTCGGCAGACAGTCCCTCACTCCAGCTTGGAGCGAAGGACCTCCCACCGAATTGCCATCGCGGCTTTTTTTTTGGCTGCTTGGGGTGGCCAAAACCCTGGAGCCGGCCCTGCATAAAATGAACAGATTAAAGCCATCTTTCCCTCAACTCCCCACTCCCTATTCCTGCACAAAACAGAGTTTGAGCAGGATGGAGAATCTGGCCCTTATAGTGAAATGGCTACTGAAGCCTAACATCACTTTTTCCTTTTCTGTCGGTCTTTGATGAGAATGAAAAGACACCATGTGGGTTTGTATCAGTTTAGGGCCTCCTTGGGGATCCATATAATCTTTTCCTCATATAAAGAATTCACTTGGCTTTATTCACTTGGGTCCATCTGCCATCATGTTTGCAGGACAGATGATCAACACACTTCTCCAGTGACTGCTCATACATTATCTCCAGCTCTTGTCTCACTCTCCCCTTGATTAATTTGCTTTGTAATCTCTCTTTATGATTTTGATCATCTTTCATCCCTCAGCTCGCTATGTTAGTTGCATCTTCCTCCTTGTGTAGATAGTTAGTCTCTATGTCCCCAAGGAACACATCGTGAGTAGAAGAACATATTAGGGAATGTACTTTCACTCTCAAAAAACTTACGTTTGGGACACTTACTTCTGAAAATGTTTCCAACTTTATAAGATGCTTTCCCTGTTAATCTTCCTTGATCATTTTGATTCCATTTCAAAATTTAATTGGTATAGTTTAATTCAGTGAGAATCTCTTTTGATTTTGCAAGCCAATTGGCCAGTGGCTATGCTCATTTGTAGATCATTTCTTACGTATTTTCATTGCAAATTCTTTTGTCATATTCCCTAAGTCTTCTAGGCTCAATCCATCTCCACTGATACTAAAGACTTGTGATCCCAACTAACCTAATCCTCTCTCCTTCAGAATTGACTCCAACACATTTGAAAATATCTTTGGTGAAATGGCACCTTGCTTGAGTCTCCTTCTCTGTTTTGATCAAAACTGAAGCAGTAGGAATGTAGATTCTGGTCAACAAACCCTCTAGTCTCATTTGCAAATGCCATTTTCTCATTAGGATCAGAACAAAAAGTATGCCTGAAAGCAACCAGCATAATACAGTCAGTTGTTTTATCTGAGAGTGAGCAGCAGAGAGATAATGACCTTGTCAGTGAAGTACTGGAGGGGCCTGTCTGGAGCCCCTGGTTAAAATCCACCCCCCAAAATGAAGGGAAAGTTGTGATAATTTTCCGTTCCTCATGGACTTTACCCATCTCTAGATATTTCTATACGTCCATGTTTAAGTTAAAAAACAAACAAACAATGAGTGAAACCCTGACCCCATTGAAGTAAGTGGCAAAACTCTCCTTGATTTCAACAGGACCAAGATTTCACCCATTATTTATGTAATCCTTGGAGATTAATTCTTACTTCAACTTTGTTAAAGTCAATATAGAACATTTTCCTTTAATTGCTAGTGATGATTAAGTCACTTACTGAACACCTGCCAATTGAACAAGAGGGGAGTTTCATTCTTTACCAGAACTGGATCAGCACTAATAGTCGTAGTGGTTGTACTGCAGTTAAGAAGCTAGGTGCCGAATCTCAGAGTTGTCAGACAGTAACTTGTTAAATTTGGAATGTAAAAAAAGCCAATTTTAAATGCGGAAAATACAATTAAAGCCCATCATGTTGAAAATAAATTAGGTGGACTCTCTGAGGGCCATAGTGCTGGAACAGAATTGTAATCAGAATCAAAATATAACAAAGTTCCACCATTGGTCCAATCCCAGATACCCTTCTTAATCTTATAGTCTCCAATATACTTTAGTCATGTAAGCAAAATGTCACATTGACTTTAATAGCTGTTTCTGCAAGCCCTCAAAATGCAGACCTGAACCTATGTTTTCAAGCTATCTCCTGTAGCTCAGTTGCTGTCTTTTCATTGGGTACTATGTACAATTCTTATATTCTCCCTGCTGACATTTTTAAGCCCATTCCTTTGCAGATCTAGCACATATACTCAGTCCACAGGAGAACTTGATTGTTATTTAGCAGTTCTTTGATTTAAAACTTTTCTGGGTGCGTGCAATCTAATTCACAGCTCACTCCCAGTTTCCTTCCCTTCGCAACAAATATTTATATAAACAGACACAATTCTCACCTCGCTGAGATTAGCTGTGATCTGTTGTTGTATAATGAGCTTTTAATTATCCATGCTGACTGCACTAGTCTTTGTCACTGTCTGATCCTCATACACCTTGCCAGGGTTTGGCAATAGTGTGGCTGATTGCAGTAGACTGAAATATAACATGGTTGCAAATGCTCCTCCAATTATTCCAAACTAGGGCTGGTAAAAAAAAAAAAAAAAGGATATTTTACCCACAGTAATTAAAAAAACAAATCCATCCATTTCAGACTCTTTTTTCAATTTTTTTTTCAAAATTTCCTATGAAAAATGTTTGGGTTTTCATTTTTTATTTCAATACCACTTTTCTTTTTTCCTTTCTCTCACTCTTTCCCTCTACCCCTACCTCCTTTTTTCCAATGGCAGATTTTAAAAATAGTTCTATTCCAGTCCATACACCATTTTGATATTATTCCAAATCCTACAAAATAGGGCTTTCTTTCTTTGTGCTGTAAGCTCCCTGGCAGATAAAGCTTCCATTACTATTTCCCAACTAGGCAAACTTCCCTCCTGTATCATCTCCTCAGAACTGCTGTTCATTGGATGTGGTACTGACTGGAAATCTTCTGAGTAGACAGTTCTTGCCTTATTTACCTTTATGTCTTCTGCTCTCACAAATAGTCTGCCATCAGGAACAAACAAGTCTGTTCTACAACAAGTGTTGCTCCAGTTCCCAAAGAACAGTATCAGTCACTAGGGAGAAGCAACAGGTTACATCTGAGACCATGAACAAGACTTATTTCCATGTCAGCCATTACTCACAGTGGAAGATTTTCTGATGTCGTCATTTTAGGAGATGATGTTTCCTCTCTCAGTTCACCTTGGAGTGTCTCCGATATTATTTTATGTTATTGATAGCAGATTTGGCCACAGACTCTGAGGTGCATGGTGCACTGATGGTGTAACCATGGTTGTTATTACATCTAATGTGCTGTTAGTTTATAAGTCAAATTGTTGTTAAATCTAATTTGAGGAAAGAAACCAACTACCTTACACATTATTCATATATTAGAAAAATAAAATAACCAATACTCTAATAATTTAAAATAACATAAGTAGTGTGGTTCCTTCTATGTGATCACACATGGTTGAATTCTGAATTCTACCCAAGTATACAGACTACAGCAGCTCCCCAGACACCATAATACTCCAAAAGGTCCCAAAGTGCATCTTTTGGCTATAAAATACAATAATGTCCTTACAATAAAATCCATCCATTTCAGACTCTTTTAACACATTAATAAAACACATTTCCTTGCCTTTACAGTTCAAAAGTTGTTGCCACTAGAAATAGCAGCTAGTGCGGTGTTTAGAGAAACCATTTAGGAATGTATAGTCTGTACAGTGTAATGCAAGGGCAAGGGAAAGTGCAGGACAAAAACAAAGAAAGCATTGAAATTAAGAGTGTACAAACTTCTCCTTTTTAAAACCTTACATTTCTCTCCCTGAACTCCCTCAAAGGCATTGATGATCATTTGAATGCACTTTGTTTACTTCCTCAACCATTATTTCCCCTTACTTTATTTTTTTTCCAAGAAGCAGTAGAGTTTTTAATTATTTCCTTTTTCCTGGAGAAGTCAATTATCTTGATGATGAAAACTAGGGATTAAGAGTGCAGGAAAAGTCTAGATATCCCCATTAGCTTTAATCTTTGTTTAGACCTGGAATGAGATAAAACCTTTACTGGAACTCTGAAGTATTCGGGTAGCATTTTATTTTTATGTATGTATGTGTATCCTTCTGGGTTCCAGATGGAATTGGAGGTGCTGAAATACTCACAGAGAGGTTGTTGCAGTATAACAGAACCAAAAGCAGAATTGCTGGAAATTTTCCAAGAAAACCTATTATGAAATTTCCAGATTTGTTTTGAAGGCTCAAGCAATTCAGATAAGCTTTGGCAATTCATCAAGACATGTAAGGATGCTTATATGAACTGAACCTAAAACTCTGAACACTTCAACCAGCTCTACTGAAAATCCATGACAAATGTGTTTTCAGTGACAACCAGCAGGAAAAGTGAAGAAAAGGAATCTGAAGAGAAATAGGGAAGAAAGAGTTATGGTGAAGAGGTGAGTGTAATGAAAATTATAATGTTACAGAAAACAAAGGAAACCAAAATTCTTACTTGATGTGTGTTGTAGTGGGTAGTGTATTTAACTGGGCCTAATTCAATGCCCATTGAAATGAATAGAAAAACTCTCTTTGACTCAACAAGCACTGGATGAGGTCATTAGTGAAAAGGAAGACACTCAGAAGAGCCAGAAGCTCTCTTGTAAACACTTGTTACTGAATGGAGGTGTTTTATATTTCATTCACCTTGTACAAATGTAAAGAACTATACAAGGTTATACTATTGCAACATAGTGGAGAATGAAGCCCTTTGCCCCTTTCATACTGGCACAGGAAATGACAGGAAGATGGGTAGTTGTATGTTAGCACTTGTAAAAAAGTAATTGTGTTTCAACAGCCCATCAAATAATGAGGCATTTTGTAACACTATCTGGGACCAAAACACTTTTCTATCGGGGCTTTACCTTCTCCTGAGCTCACTATCTGGAAAGCCATGAAATTACAAGTTTAATTAGCAAATTTCTGTTACATTTGCATGGAATATAAACCTACTGCCTTCACCCCAAAAGCTAGGGTGGGAGAGGTGGAGGAAATTATATGAAAATAAATAAACCAGTTAATTTGCTATATTCAACCTTTTTAGCAATTTTAAAGTAATTAAATATTATACTCTGAAATTGACTCCAGAAATTAATGTACACCTTTTAAAATACAGGAGCACCACATGTCCTGGAAGTCTTTAATAGGCCAGGACTGTGTAATTTGTTCTTCATAACTCCTAATACTCTTCCTGCTTTGTCTAGAAACTCGAGTACTTTCCCTTTGCTCTTCATAGTTTGTGATAATTAAAAATCCATTATACTTCCCTCTTTGCAATGACAGTACATAAATTAAACCCCAGCAGTGTTGAAACACACACAAAGTGATATAACCCTTTCCAAGTGTCACTTATCTGCAATGCAAATTTCTTATGGCTGATCAGAACTTCGGCAAATATTTCTAATTCAAAACTTGACCTTTTAGAACTAACTAGTGTTCTTTTGTTGATATTCAGTTCAGAAGTTATTGATGTATTTATTTTTCGTTAATCAAATGTTTAGTTCTATAAATTTTGTTAAATTTCAAATCTCCCATCCTTTCAGCCTTGAAGATAGCCTCTCAGTGCTAGGATCCATAACCATCTGCACTAGCAGTCCCAGGATTTCAGCTGTTAAAGATTCCTTTGACAAGAACCCAGCAATGTTACCCAGTAATAGGAAATCAGAAGCAATTCAATGGTGCAGAATTTAGTATAATATTCTTCCTCTTTTCCTTCTTTTTTTTGCATATTAAGTAACTTTGCTCTAGATGTAAGAAATGAAATTTGACTACTTGTGAGTCCCCAAAAGCTGCTACTTTGTGACTGATTTTAGTAATAACATTATCATCCAGGTGAACAGTGTTCTCGCTTTTACAAAGCTGCATGAATTTAGTGTTCTTAAAAATAAGAAAATAACAGGGACTTGTGTCAGGTGTAATTCAGTTCATTGTTATATAAGATTCTTCACACACTTCTGTCAATGCACCTCAATCCTGATATTTTGCTCAAACATTTTCAGCTCTCATATTTAGGTACTATTTTTTTTTTTTTTTACTTCTGGTTCTCCTATACTAGCACAAAGCTACAGTATTTTTTGTTGCAAACTCTGCAAGGGTATGTTGAAATCCATGCAAACACAAAAAAGCTATTTTCCTTTTGCTTCAAAAGAGTTCATGAAAACATTTCTTCTAATATTAGGTCTTGTAATAGCTTTATTTTAAAAAATCTAAATTTTGGCCCAAATAAAGTCAAGAGCTCTCTTTCAATATCACATCTTTTGCTGTATAAGATGCTGAAGAAGCTTCTAAAATAGGTGCTTCAGGCTTGGCTTACTAAAAAATGGCTTACACTTATGTGACTGGCGTACTCTGGCATAACAATGACTTTTTATACCAGTGATGAATCAAGCTGAGAATTTTGAACAAACCCGCTTTAAAGAATTTTCTTTTCTTGGTAGAGCCACTGGGTATGTAAATACTGACAGTTACCCACGCTTACATTTTCTCCTATTTTCTTCTACCTAAATTCCTTTTCCTCCTTCTAGCTAGTCACAAACATTAAATTCTCTCATCAAGCTGGAGATTAAGATGGTAGAAGCCATGATCTCCTCCAGTAATTTTTACTTGTGTTGCTCCCTGAACTGGCTTCCCAGGGATATTAAAAGAATCGTGATCACTTCACCCTTAAAATCTGAAGACCAAACTTGTCACTGCTGTATGTAATCTGAGCATATCTACAACAGATTTGTTCTTAGAGTCTTCTTCATCTTACTTTTCAAGAATGCTTGTACAATTAATGAGAACACATCCCAAGGAAAGGAGGAAGAAGGAAAGTGCTTAGGGGACTGGCTTCAAAACTTAGGCAGATTGCTTCCGGGCATTACATGTCATATGACAAAAAATCAATCTATTTATCTCCACACACTAACAATTAAGAAAATGATGGGTTATCTCAGACCAGTTTTAAATCAGTGGAACTGCATTGTCTTAACTGGCGTTACTGATGCTATACGCTAGTGTAAATTAAATCAGCATTGGCCCTATGTTAGAATCATAGAATATCAGGGTTGGAAGGGACCTCAGGAGGTCATCTAGTACAACCCCCTACTCAAAGCAAGACCAATCCCTAACTAAATCCCCAAATGGCCCGCTCAAGGATTGAACTCACAACCCTGGGTTTAGCAGGCCAATGCTCAAACCACTGACATATTAGTGTTTAAAAAAGGACTATCAGGCTCCTAGTCAGAAAATGAATATTGAGGGCACAGTGTTGAGGGAAATCAACTAAGGAACAAATTTAATAAAATAATAATGAATAATGAAGACTTCAACTTCCTACATAGTAACTGGTCAAATATCATAATATTAATGCCACTGTACAGGACACAGGTAAGGCTTTATCTGTAATACTGTGTATAATTACGAGCACCCATGTTCAAGAAAGATTAATTCAAACTAGAACAGCTGCAGAGAAGAGTTAGTAAGATGATTAGGGTAATAGAGGGTCTGTCTTATGAGAGAAGACTGGAAGAGTTTGTTTGGTTTAGTCTAGAAACAGAAGGCTGAGAGGGGATATGCTCGCTCTCTATAAATAGACCAGGGATAAACTAGGACAATTAAGAGTTATTTAAGCTAAATTACAATGTTAGCACAAGATTAAATGGGTACAAACTGACCATGAAGAAATTCAGTCTGGAAATTAGAAGAAGGTCTCTAACCATCAGAGGAGTGAGGTCCTGGAGCAGCCTCCCAATAGGAGTCGTAGGGGCAAACAACTTAATTAGTTTTAAGAGAGATCTGGACAAATGTATGAGTGGGATTGCATGACATGATGGCTTGTGATGGTGGGGAGCAAGGCTCAGAAACCCTGGAGGTTTCCTTCTGATTTATGTCTTATTTTCTTACAAGCTCATGCTCCAAAGCTCAGCTGTCACTTGAATAGATCAGGAAGGGATTCTTTCCTCCTCCGCTCCCCCCGATTTATTCTGGGTGTTTTGTATGTGATTTTTAAAATCTCCTTCCTCTGAAGCATCAGAGATAGCCGCAACAAGAAGTGGGACATAGAACGTGGTGAGACAGGGCTTTTGAGCATTCTCTATCTCAGGGGTTTACCTGGCTTGTTCTTGCTCTTATGCCTGAACACCATATGGGGTTGTGAAGAAATATTCCCCCACGTAAGATTGGCAGTGACCCTGGGTTTTTTTCACTTTCCTCACCAGCATGAGTGGTGGCCATGTGCCAGGATTATCTGGGTATATGTTACTTAAGTTCCTGCCATGGCAGGGGCCTCGGGCATTGGTGTACCTCAGTCCCTCACATACTCTGCCTGTGGCACATAATAGACTGTTGGATGTAATACTCTAGTCTAATTTTGGTGGTTGGGTGTAGTGTGAGGGAGCTGAGTGGTGTTGGGGGCCTGTGATATACAGGTCAGTCTAGATGATCTGATGGCCCCTTCTGGCCTTAAACTCTATGATTCTAACATTTAGAGAAGCAAATTTTTCAACACTGAAAATGTTCCAAACCACAAGAGAAGAAGCAATTCTTGATTTAGTCCTATTAATACATGGGCATCGGTTCAAGTTAAGCCACTAAGTAATAGTGGCCACAATATGGTTAAGCAGCATTGCATAATTACCTTGTGGAACTTATTGTCACAAAGTATCACACAGGCCAATAACTTAGTAGGATTCAAAAATGAATCAGTCAGATACATGGATAATGAGAACATCCACAAACATATTGTCATAAACATACAGCTAAGGGTAGCATAAAATCCCTCCTTTACCTGTAAAGGGTTAAGAAGCTCAAATAACCTGTTTGGCACCTGACCAAAAGGACCAATGAGGGGAGAAAATACTTTCAAATCTGTGGGGGAAGGTTTTTGTTTTGTCTCTCTTTGTGTGTTCTCTCCGGGTCAGCGAGGAATCAGGGCAGGGAAAATAAATCTCCCAAAGCGATACCTGAACTAAGCATCTAAGATTACAAATTGTAAGTAATAGGAAGGAAATGCATTAGATTATCTTTTGTTTTAGCTTGTGAATTGTCCCTATGCTATGAGGGAGGTTTATTCCTGTTTTTTGTTGTTGTTGTTGTTGTTTTGTAACTTTAAAGTTTTGCCTAGAGGGAAATACTCTGTGTTTGAATCTGATTAACCTGTAAAATTACGTTCCATCCTGATTTTACAGAGGTGCTTCTTTTACTTTTCCTTTATAATAAAGTTCTGCTTTTAAGAACCGGATTGGTTTTTAGTGTCCTAAAAACCCAAGGGCAGATCTGTGCCCACTTTGTTAACCTATTTGGTTGGTATATTATTCTCAAGCCTCCCTAGGAAAGGGGGTGAATGGACTTGGGGGGATTTGGGGGGAACAGGAACTCCAAGTGGTTCTTTTCCTTGAATCTTTGTCTAACAAACTTGGTGGTGGCAGCAGTACTCATCCAAGGACAAGGAAGGATTTGTGCCTTAGGGAAGTTTTTAACCGAAGCTGGTAGAGATAAGCTTAGGGGGTCTTTCATGCGGGTCCCCACATCTGTACCCCAGAGTTCAGAGTGGGGCGGGAACCCTGACACATATACATCCTCCGGGATTTAAAAAAAAGTCTTGTAAAAGAGATATAAACTCCCATGTTTAAGGTCATAAGCCAATTGACAGGGGGGAGATTATTCCTTAGTTAGGTAGTATGGGGTTTTTTTGCATACTCCTCTGAAGCATTTGGTATGGCTGCTAGTGGAGACAGAATACTAGTTTAGATGGGTCACTGGTCTGATCCAGTATGGCAATGCCTACATACATATATACCAGCAGTGAAGTTTGGAAATCCTCCATCACTGGGGAAAAACAACTGTGTTCCACCTTCTTCAAACATCATCTTCATTAACTGTATATTCTCTCACAATATATTCAAAGAACAAAATGAAGAGAATAATCAGAAAATGTGAGGAAAGTAAACTGAAGCAGAAACGTTACATCGCAAGGGGACTCAATAGAACGTAGCACTTTTTTCCACAGTTGGCCTGCGAGTCTTGTCCTAACCTAGAGAATAAACTTTCCTACTGGGTGTATTGTATAGCTACAGAGATAAGAATATATAATAAACTATTTGTACATATGTTGCCAGTTAAATAATATACTATCATTGTATGTCTTAGGAATGGTGTCCCTAGCCTCTGTTTATCAGAGGGTGGAGATGGATGGCAGGAGAGAGATCACTTGATCTTTACCTGTTAAGTTCACTTCCTCTGGGAAACCTGACATTGGTCACTGTCAATAGACAGGGTACTGGGCTGGATGGACCTTTGGTCTGACCCAGTATGGCCATTCTTATGTTCTCACTATATGCATGTAAAAACTCTTAACAATATAAATAATTATTATTTGTTATTAAATATTTCAATATGTTACAAAAATGTGGTGTTGCATCATGGGTTATTCTACTTGTGATTAGCTGCGAGATGAGCTCCAAGAAGAGTGGTATTTTGCACAGAGGGTGGGTAAAGGGGGGCAGCATGCAAATAAACAAATATGTAAATTTACTGCACCTTTATGATTTAGAACATGAATTGTGCAACATCTAATGTTTTACATAGAGATAAACTTTGATATCATGGCTGTTTTAGCAGGTCTGAAGGACTTTTCTATCAGTTTTCTGGTATCTTGGGCCCACACTAGATGAATAAACATAAAACATAGTCCACTCAAATGTGTACAACCCATTTGGTTCTTTCCTCCTTCTATCCCCTTCCACGACTCTTTCTTCAGGTCTTTGTATGCTCACCTCATGCTCTGAATCTTTATGCCAGTCTCCTGACTCTACAGCTGTCTTCAACTTCATGGAGCCACACACGGGATAATGAGGATAAAACAAAAATATTTAATAACAGCTCAGTCAGTGAGTACTATCCATCCCATGTCCTGAATGAAGTGGGTTCTGTGAAAACAATAGCATGTGATCATGTAGTTAAAGACTGAATTACAATGCATATGAACAAGAGGGCTGAATTAAGATTGCATAAAAAAACCTTAATTCTGGAA